GAAAACTAAGAGTGAATGGAAACCTTGCGTATGATATTACGTTATTAATTTCATGATAAACCTAAATAATTACCATTCTTTGTCAATACTGTGTGAACCACAGGCTTTGGACCTTCTGAGAGTGATTTAATGACTCTTTTCTGCTATTGTTTTATCATTTATTCTTACTATAACTTCAAATATTTTCCAATGCAACGCCATTTAAGACCAATAAATTGTAACACTGCTGCCATGCAAAAAATGCATCTGAAAATCAGTAACTTTGAAAAGAGGTTAAATGTGATTTGACTCTATGAAGAAAGCTAAACAAGGTGGCCCTAGGGAAGAGGACTGTCAAGGAAAAAACAGCACTAAAACAAAAATATGCTATAAATGGTATTGATTTATATATGCTAGGAATCTATCCCTTCTGCTTCATCTTTATTCTGATAAGAAAGTGTCCTTAGAAATATAAGCATTTTGATTTATTGAAGTTATTAAGGAATGTATCCCCATTTTTTTTATTTTCAAATATTTTATTAATGGTCACATTTATAAATGTATTACTTGTATGCAGCATGTGCTTATTTAAGTTTTGTGGCAAAATGGTACCACAAAAGACAAACTTTAACCTATGGGTAGTGGAGTTCAGGTCTCAGTACATGTCAAGGAAGAAACTCCATCAGTCACTTATAGGTCCTCTCTCATGTTTGCAAACTGAATTATTAAAGTTCAAAGTCTTAAGATGTACAAGTACTTTTCATATATTTAGATTGGGCAATTTTTGTTTGCTGAATAATTACTAGAAATATCGCAATCATTATTATTTTATATCTAAACTAAGTTATAGCTAATCCCTCAGTATTATACATTCTAAAGCCATATTTATATTTAAATATTATGTAACATATTTTTTCAATTAATTTTTTATTGTGAGCGCTGTGAATTGTGCAAGACTGTTGAATCACAGATCTATACCTCTGAAACAAATAATGCAATATATGTTAAGAAGAAAAAAAAGATAGCAGGAGGGGAAGAATGAAGGGGGGAAATCAGAGGGGGAGATGAACCATGAGAGACGATGGACTCTGAGAAACAAACTGAGGGTTCTAGAGGGGAGGGGATGGAGGATGGGTTAGCCTGGTGATGGGTATTAAAGAGGGCACGTTCTGCGTGGGGCACTGGGTGTTATGCACAAACAATGAATCATGGAACACTGCATCAAAAGCTAATGATGTAATGTATGGTGATTAACATAACAATAAAAAATTAATTGTATCCCCATTTTTAAAAATTGCCCTTTGTAAATAGAGTGTTAATATGGTGGAATTGGGAAGTAGATCACAAAATGAAACTGAAAAAAAAACTACAAATTATTATAAGTTCTAAGAAGAAAAAGAGTAGGATCATTGAGACAGAATAACAAAGAAGGAACACCAAAATTTAGATTGAAGAGTCATAAAAGGTGTATCTGAGTACACCTTTCTCAGTATTCATGCTGAGACCAAATGAATAAATAGAAGTTTGTCAGGGAGAGGGGAGAAGGACATTACAAACAAATACCTCAAGCAGGAAAAAGCCTGATGTACTTGAGAAACAATGTCTGGCTAGAAGATGAGGAGGCAGAGAGAACAGATGATACAGGACTCCATGGCTCATGGCCCCTTGGGAGGAGTGTTTCACATTTCAGCTCAGGGAGAAAGACTGTGGGTTGAGATTCTGGTTCTGTTAGATATGTGGGATTAATTAAATTACTTCCCTCTGTTTGCTTCAATTTCGTCATCTGTAAAAAAACTAATATTGATAGGACTTCTCTCATAGGTTGTTGTGAGGTTTAGTGAGTTAAAATAGGCAATTTGTTGTTATTATTCTTAGAGATTTATTCTGAGTGCAATGAGATGCCACTGCAGGATTTTAAGTGACATTATCTAATTTATTGTTTTAAAACATCATTCCAGCTGCTGCTTCTGTTTGAGAAAGTCTTGATGGAGATTTAAAGGTTTCCAAGGCATTTTGAACAATGAGTATCTTTTTGAGCTTGAGAATTAAGGATCCCAGTCACAGGTCCAGCTGAGAGAAAAATGAGATAAAAATTTGAAAAAAAATTTAAGGATCAAAGACTAGGAAGTGATGAATGATTAGAGAATTAAATTGGGATACCATGGTTTTAATAAAGATGATATTTTAAAAACTGAATCATTGATTCTTAATATTTAATTGGCTAGAGTATACTGCATAGTGTTATGGACATCATAGACAAATGCAGAATTCCCAAACGAAGCTGCCCACTGTGAACTTTAAATGAGACCATACACATAAGGATAAAATATAAAGGCTAAGATATTTTTTCAATAGGACACAAAAAAACACTGCCATTAAAAAAGCAATGATTAATTGGACTTCATTCAAATTAAGAACTTAAATTCATCAAAAAGCAATATTAAGAGAATGAAATTGCACTGCACCTCTGTTAGAATGGGTATAGTTTACCAGTAGGGAGAATACTCTAAAGGAGAATGTAGAGCAATTGCAACTCCCATATATTGCTGGTGAGAGTGTAAATTGGTAGGACCACTTTGGGAAACTCTGTGCAGCATCTACTTAATCTAAACATACATACACCCTATAGAGCAATTCTTACTTCAGAAAGGAATACTTAATGTCAATTATATCTCAATAAAGGGGGGGGGAATGAGTACTTAGGTCCATCAAAAGATAATGTACAAGAATATTAATAGCAACAATAGTGGAATGATTAAATAAATTGTGGTATATTTATATAACAGATAAAAAACAGTGAACTACATGCAACAGTAGGACGAATCTCATAAGCCTTATTAAGTAAAATAAGCCAGACCAAAAGTTCAAAAGCAGACAATACTAATCTTTTTTTTTTTTTTTAAGATTATATTTACTTATTTGACAAAGAGAGACACAGCGAGAGAGGGAACACAAGCAGGGGGAGTGGGAGAGGGAGAAGCAGGCTTTCTGCAGAGCGGAGAGCCCGATGCGGGACTTGATCCCAGGATGCTGGGATCATGACCGGAGCCGAAGGCAGACGCTTAACGACTGAGCCACCCAGGCGCCCCCAGACAATACTAATCTTAATAGAGGTTGAATAAGTGATTACTTTGGGAAAGGGGAATTAACTGGAAGGGAACAGAGGGGAATCTTCTGGGTTTATTACATATTTTCTTTACATTTTGTCAAGCTGAATACTTTGGATTTGTGCACTCTGTGTAATTTAAAATATAATTAACAATTAAAATGTAAGTAATAATCTTTTAAGTGTAAAGAACATAAAGAGACTTGTCTTTTTAAAGGTTTTTTGTTTTGTTTTTCATTTCTTTCTTTCTTGGCTCTTTCAAGTAGCCAAAGAGGGTGGATTGAAGGAAACGAACATGGAATAAGAGGAATCAGAAAGTGTGAAAGAACATAGAAAGAACAGGAAAATGGGCAGGAGGTGGGAGCCTTTAGGCGTATGGACTGGTAGAAAGAACTAAAAATGAAAGAAGGGGGTCGCCTGGGTGGCTCAGTCGGTTAACAGTCTGCCTTCAGCTCAGGTCATGATCCCAGGATCCTGGGATCAAGCCCCACAGCAGGGAGCCCACTTCTCCCTCTCCCTCTGCCTGCCTGCCTGTCTGCCTACTTGGTGATCTCTCTCTCTCTCTCTGTCAAATAAATAAATAAAATCTTTAAAAAAATAAAAATAAAAATGAAAGAAGGGTTAGATAAACAGCAAGGCGAAAACCATAAAGAAGGATACTTCTTTGCACTCTACAAATATGGCACAACACCATTCTTATTTTTATGTAGTAATCAGTTGACCACAGTTTAGTAGCAGTCTTTCTTCTTAAGAACTAATTTGAATCTTGAAATGATTTCTTTTGGTATGCTGACTGTCCCCGTTTCATGTCCTTCTTATTTCTGTGTGACACCTTCTACAAAGTGAGCATACTGGAGAGATCTATAGGTTACTTAAACAAAAAGAAGAAATGTATAATTACTTTGGTTTAAACAGTTTTAAATAAAGTATCAGACTAGATATTCGGCCAGTGCTAAAGTTCCCTGACTAGCTTTTTGAAGCTTTCAGAATTATATTACTTTCTTTCACATCATTAATCTGTATTATATAGTTAGGTTGTTTTACTTCCAAGTCTCCCATCGACATTTCTTTTGTATGCATATACTGAAATGATTTTATTTAATAAAAAAAGAACATCTCCTGTGTGGATTTTAAATTTCCCTTATTAAATATTTATATTTTCAAAATGTCTTTATTTAATTGAGTGAGGTGCTTGGTGCCATTTCAAAATAACCTCAGGTGGTAGGTGTAATGACATATCAAAGATTTGACCTTTAGCATTTTAGGGTTCTATTTGTCTGCATTTTCTTCTGCATTCATTTACTCTTAATTTATATGCTATTTCTCTGTATGACTTAATGAGTGGGTATATTTGGCATGAGATTCATTAACAAAAAGAAAAGATCTGAATACATATTATTTCTTTGCAGTCAAACTAGTGATTTTAACTTCATTTATATCTGTGTATGGAGTGATCGGTTATTCGTACAGCCCTCATTCATTAAGTGCTCAGCTGAAGAAACCCTGGATCTACTAAACGGATGCCCATTCTCTTACTTCTCACTTCTTTGCAGTCAGCTTTTTATATTCTTTTATTTACCTAGAGATGCTTTATTTTCCAATTCTCAGCTATGCCTTTTAAAGAAAATTGAATGTAATATTTATACTGATGTAATTATATTAACATCTTGCAGCATCTTGTATGCTTTGGTAACATCAACAATCATTTGGGTAGCTTTCAGCCTAGAAGCAGAGAAATAGAATAATTATCAAGAATAATATTGTGATATAAAAATTATTTTTATTTACCCATTTAAGTATGTCTTAATTGATTTTTAAAAATGGGTATTTCTTATGGAGATTTTTGTTAAATATATTATTGGTCAGGAAGGCTACATATTTATGTTTCAATTATTTATTTTTATGTTTTTCTCAGTTTACACAAATCTTTATCCCAAGAAGAAAATCTGAAGGATCAGTTTAACCATACCCTTAGTACTTATGAAGAAGCTTTAAAAAATAGAGAGAACATTGTTTCCATCACTCAACAACAGAATGAGGAACTGTCTACCCAACTGCAGCAAGCTCTGACAGATCGAGCAAACATGGAATTAGAGCTTCAGCATGCCATGGAGTCCTCCCAAGCAGCCAATGACAAAGTGCAGAAGTAAGTAAAATGATCTTGCATGATTTCAAAAGCATGAAAAAAAACAAAACAAGAACACTTTTTTTGCAACTAAATAATAGATTATCTATTAGTCATGCTGTTAATGGTTTAAGACAAAAGTAGATTGAGCCAAATGAACTTTTTTAGATTGCCTCTGATACCCATAGTTGGGGTCAAAAAGTCATTCGCTTGGGAATCATAGTTACTATTGAGGGCAAACCACTTTTATTTAATAACTGATCTTCATTAGTTCCTGGAGGCCATACTATTAAAATCCTTTCACGGGTAATAGGTAAAGTTATTGGCAAGGGGGAGAGGCAGTCAAGTAATCAATTTTACTCATTTAGCTTTGTGATAATCCGCTTGAGTTGAGATCATCTGTGACTTTGTAATCTGAGACCTCTAGGCACAAAAAATAGTTACAGTGGAATTAATTTTCATGTGTTGTTCTTCTGAAGTATTCAGGACAGCTTTTCACGGTGCATAATTACATTTGTTTATTTTCGATGATCTTTGCATATTTGTTAAATTTTAAATAAAGCTACAAAATCAATCAGTCCTTATGATAGCTAGCAAAATGTTAATATAGGACATATCATATGAAGAAGTCACTTGTTAATTTAAGGGACTTGAACACTGTAGCAGAATTTCCTAAGGCAGCTTTAATGGAATGGAACTTGTCATTTTAACTGATCCCATCTTTATGTATTGTTAACAGCATTTTGTCATTCACACACTTAAGTGCCTTCAATTCCTAAGACCTACCTTTTTCCTTAATTTTTTTCAGTCTCACAGTATGAAGTAGTGCTAACTTCAAATTTTCTTACTTCACACAACTTTTTATTTGAAAATAAATCATCTCAACCATTTCCCCAGTGTCCCTGAAATTATGTTTTGAATGGTAGCCTAAGGTCAGGTAAATCTGTAGTTAAGAACCATTTTAAAACAGATTAGGAATTATGCATATTAAAATCTTTACATAATCAGCGTACCTTGAAATTTATGATTTATGGTACGTATTCTGTTTTTTGTAGGTTTAAAGATTAGGTTTATGTTCAGTCAGAAATTATATCCAGGGGATGGGTTAACCTGGTGATGGGTATTGAGGAGGGCACGTTTTGCATGGTGCACTGGGTGTTATGAACAAACAATGAATCATGGAACACTGCATCAAAAACTAATGATGTAATATATGGTGATTAACATAACAATAAAAAAAATTAAAAAAAAAAAAGAAATTATATCCAGTTATTCACAATGTACATTAACATTCTAAAAACACTAAGATACATAGGTAGATCTCATTTCATTGTAAATTACAAATCAGTAACTTTTGATAGTCAGGATATGTTAGCTGTATTTGTTTAAAGTCTACAGATAATTACAAATATCAAAGTTTTCTTTACATGTATTTCTTTAATTTTATATACATGACTAAAATTCCCTAAAACAGTGTTTCCCAGCGACCAATTAAATTTCCATAAAATCTTTGGAAATGTTGTCAATCTTTTATTTTTTAGATCTCATCAACTATTATTATTTTGTAAAAAATAATTTAAAAAAAACTTTGTATTGATACAGAAATATATCAGTATTGAAGTAGAAATATTATCATCTCAGATAATGCTTTAAGTTGAATAAGTTTAAGCTTTTGGAAAAACTATAGTCTTATTCTTCACATTTAACCATGGACAGATCAAAAGGTTTTAATGGAATAACACCAATCAATGGACAGAGTTTAAGTAAAACAATTATGTCATTTAAATGTTAAATTTAAATGTTGAATCTTTTATTCTGATTTCCAGCAATAAGCACTAGATGAAATACGATGAGGCTTTCCTGTTCATATTCAATCCACTATATTTTTAATTGCCCTTAATTGGGCAGTGTACCTTCACTGCAGTTAATGTGGGCATCAACCTCTTATTGCATTTAAGAGGATAACCTTCCAGGAAACCAGCTTAAAAGGCTTTGTTAGATGGTATTAGTATTCTCCATATCATCTGAAATTACTGTTATTAGCAATTATTTCTGAAGGTCCTTTGTAAATATGTCAGTATTCCAGGCAGTAATTACAATGTGAACTAAAAAGGTACACATTTCCCCTTTTCCTTTCACAATGAAATTTCTTGAATAACTGATCTATATTCAGTATCTAATTTTTCAATTCCATTTATCCCTGTGCTATTCAGTACACTCTGGCTAGCTTTTATACTGAAATGTTCTTTTTAAGATTACCAGTAATTTCCTAACTATTAATTAGTGGCCCATTTTTAATTATATTTTTATTATAAAATTAACATACGATCATGGTAAACAATAAGTAAAGATGCTCCCATATATTCGGTAATATAGCATAGTGGTTTAAAAGCTCAGGATCTGGATTCAAAATGCATAGCTATGTGAACTTGTACATTTTATTTTAAAACACTGTGCTGATGCAGATAATAATATATGGATAATAATACTCCCACCTCATAATGTTGTAAGAATTAGATGACATAAACATGTAATGCCTTTAGAACAGTGCATGTTGCATTGTCCCTCCTTCTCTTGCCATTTCATTCCACACTCTGATATCCCATTCTTCAGAAGGGCTCTATCTTTTCAAGACTAAATACCTTTACACATGTGGGTTCCTCTGCTTGGAGCCTTTTACCGTTTTCCCCCGTGAAAAACTTACTCATCCTCTGAGATTCAGTGCAGCAGAGAGGATGGAGGCAGGCTTTGGAGTCAAGTCAGACAGACCTGTTTTTCAAACCCTACTTACTTACTACCTGTGAGATTTGGGGCAAATTACTTAACCTCTGGAAGCGAAAGTTCCTCAGTTGAAAAATTCAGACAGTATTACTGCTTTCACAGGCAGGTTTGATATGAGTAATAAACTGGATACCATGTAAGATACCTAGTTCAGTGCCAGTTACTTTATTATCAGCATGTTATAAATTATATTATTAGTATAATCATACTCATCAAACTAGCAAGACTAGTTCAAGTATCTCTTCTCTACAAAGTCTTCTTCAACCTTCCGGAAAGTTAAATATCACTCTCTTCTCTGTGTTTTCATAGTATGTTTGTTAAAAATTCCTCCCCTGAAAATAAAGCCCTCACCATTTTCCTGTGTCTCCTGTCTCAGTAATGGTCTTCAGCAGTTTCAGCACCATCCTTGTTCCCTCACTCTTTCTTACTTTTCACATTCGCTTTGCTGTCAGACTCTGTTTTCTGTGCTGCTTATCATCTGATTCCCTCTATTCCATCCTCACTTGTTAATTGCATTATTTCAGGCCCTCATCATCCTCCATCTAGACTATTGAAATAATCATAAAACTAGTTTATCTGCCTCTAGATCTCAAGTGTCTCGAGTGTGTCAAGTGTGTCGCTGCCACGAGTTAATTTTTCTAAAACTGAAATCAGGTTATATTACTTCCCTACTTAAAATCTTTCAGGGGCCCTTCATCCCCTACACACTAAAGCATAAACGACTTAGCAGGGTAAATGAGGCCTTTCACCTTTCTGGCCTTCTCCCATTTTCTGGTATCATTTCCTCCACGACCCCAACCACAATATCTCTACACAAGCTATTTCTTCTTCTTAAAGCATATTCCTCCCTTCTAGTACCTAGCCAAATATTTGTTTGGACTCCTTAAAGTCCAGTCTTAACATTATCTCTGTGATGTTTCTTTATTTTTTTATTTTTTTCATAGTACTTAGTCCACTATCTTTGTTAGAAGTCTTAATCATCTAGGTGTTACAATTGCTTTGTTTATCTGTTTCCTATCTACTACACTCCCTGCAAAATTACCCATCACTGAGCATTTCCAAAACTTGGACGGTGTTCTCTTCATCTTTATATCCACATGTCCTCCAAATATTCACATAGATGCCTGCTATAAAGTAGGTACTCTGTAAACACTAATGAACAAATGAACTAAAACAACTTAATAGGTTGATGGGATGACAGAATAAAGTAAAACAGGTCAGGTCAGGAATATACAGGAAAATTTCAAATGTGCTCTGATCTACTTTAGGGCCTAGATAAAAAAGTTTTATCCCAACCCAGTACCCAATTTTAGTAGAAGAGTTTCATAGAAAAGTATGACTTTTGTGGCTAGTCCTGCCTGCCTCCCTCACTGGCACCACCACTCCTATGGTATCTGACTTTCTAGTGGACTTTTAACCCTTGTTTTATGCACCAGCTTCCATCAAATTTAATTACATTTAAAAGATCTGAAATCTTCAGTAATAGTGGAGAGAGAGTATATACTATTTCTAATAATTATAGAATTTTAAATTTATATTTTATTTTATTTTATTTTATTTTAGAGTCAAATGAATTTCTTAAAATTTTTTAAATATAGGAGTATTCCTGAAAAGGAAAGTGGTGCAGAATTACCATCCATAAGCTAGCCAATATGTATAGGCAGAAACACCGATAGGGGAAAGTATAAAGAATGCCAGACCTCATCGCCCAAAAATTGCTTCTTGGCCCATGTGTCATAAAGCCTAAAATTTCACCAGTAGAAATCCATTCCCTTGGTTTAAGCAAGGATGAGGTAATTCTCTTTTAAAAATGTGTATGTTTGTGGAAGGAGAACACACTGTCATTTAGGTTTTAGGTTGCTCTTGCTGACCCTGGATGCACTTAGTTTGGTGAGCTATGTGGAAGTAGAGGGGACCAAAGAGCAGGTTAAGAGCTTAGGAACTTTATAAGAGAAACTTCTCTTAATGATTCTGCCAAGGACCATCCATAATCCTTGTTTATTAAAGAGAAAACTGACACACAAATCCATTAAGTGATATTTTTATCATCACAAGAGATTTAAAACTCTGTTGTTCTAATTTATGCTATATTTTATTTCCCATCTTTCTATCTATAGATATGGTTCTTGTGGCCCAGAACAACAGTTTTCTAAAGGATCTTAAAAATATATTTGACTATACTTAACATACCTAAGCTACACATAATTACTTAAAAGTATTTACAACCAGGCTTATAGGGT